TCGAATTCCAGTCGAGTTCGTTACATTCACTGACATGCTACTACTACTTGGAAAGGCATGAATCCAACGATTCACACATCTATAGTATGAAATACAAGGTTAGATATGCCCATCTATGAGTAAATAGTAAGAGAGACAGGGTTCTATAGGCCCATCTATGAGTAAATAATAGGACAGACAAGGTTTTATAGGACAATCTATTTGTAAATAATAGGACAGACAAGGTTCAATAGGCCCATCTATTTGTAAATAATAGGACAGACAGAATTCTATAGTCCTATATATGTGTAAATAGTAGAACAGACAGGGTTCTATAGGCACATCTATGAGTAAATATTAGGACATGGTTCTATAGGCCCATCTATGAATAAATATTAGGACAGACAGGGTTCTATAGGCCCATCTATGAGTAAATAGTAGGACAGGCAGAGTTCTATAGGCACAGCTATGAGTAAATATTAGGACATGTTTCTATAGGTCCATCTATGAGTAAATTGTGGGACAGGCAGAGTTCTATAGGCCCATCTATGAGTAGATATTAGGACAGACAGGTTTCTATAGGCCCATCTATGTGTAAATAGTAGGACAGACAGGGTTCTATAGACGTGGGTGATGACCTGATAGAACAAGGTAAACTTCAATCCAGGTTGGAGAGAGTGTAGTTCCGTCAGGCTACCTTGCCGAAGACACACAATGGCTGCAGTACTCATGGTGCTCCTTTGATACGAATGGGTTACGAGGCTCGTGATCATTATAACATTATAGTCCCCGAGGGTCGCAGATACTAAGTACATTTTGAATACTAAGTCCTTCTTAGTAAGAATTAATCAAATTGATTTTTTTGATGCTTTTGGTCAATTCATGATATAAATATATCAGTATCACGATGCATTCACTTCTGTATCTTTTTTCTGTAGAGTGTGCATGTGAATACGACAAATGACATCACAGTCCTGGATGGTCACAGATACTCATCTTGGAAGTATATTTCTAATACGAATTCCTTGTTAGTAAGATTTTTTTTATACCTACGTGGTTAATTTATGATGTAAATCTTTAAGAGTGACAAGTAGCTGCAAACTTTTGCATGTCTTATTTTCAGTATCACAATACGTTCAGTTTTGTATCTATTTCTGTACAGGGTGCGAGTGACTACGATAAATTGTTTTTACTTACTTTTTTTTCTCTTTCTCTCATATTGTTCTCTCTAACCTTTTTACCTCACTCTTATCTTCCTATTATGCGCGCGCGGGTGTGTGTGTGTGATTCAATGATAAAATTGGAAAAAATAGCCCCATGTAACACGTTTCGTGAGTACAAAGAACTTCTTCAGACTTTTTCTTAATTATGTCACTCCAAACAAGTCGATAGTGCCACTACGAGGCAAAGGGTGTCAAAGAGAGGAACAGAAAAGTTGCAGAGTTTCAAACTTTTATTAAACTCACCAATTGTCTCCACCAACTCTTAAAAATGTCAAAAGCTTGAACGATATTTCCTGGTTTTTTTTTCCGAATGGAAAATTTCTGACGGAATTTACTCATTGTCCGAGTCGGATTATACATAACTTAGAAGAGTCGAGCATTAAAATTTATTGCCACAAAATGTCGTTTTAACAGTATTCGCCTTAAAGAACAATTGCTGCTGCTTAAATACAGAGTATATATATGTGTGTGTTTGTATGTGTGTGTGTGTATGTGTGTGTATGCATACATACATACATACATACATATATATATATATATATATATATATATATATATATATATATATATATGTAGGATGTGTGTGTGTGTATAACGAATGCACGGCCGCAATTTTCGACGGATTTGCACCAAAATTTACATGCACATGCTCCAAGTTAGCGGGAAGGCCAAGACCGACTTTGCATTTCCCAACTCCCATCGATAGTGGAAATAATCGATTTTTTCATGCTTCTACGTCAGTTTTCATGTAGTTTGCGGCCATTTTCTACTGGCAAGAGTGAGAGTCAATAGCTGACTGACACGAATAGGCAGGACGATTCTACTGGCCAGCGTGAGAGTCAACAGCTAACTGACACGAATGTTAACTAGCATGCTAGCATGCAAAAAAATATCGATAGCTGCATTCGTCACAAGTGGGAAAAATTTAAATCTGCATGGCAATTTACTCCAATTGGTTCATTCGCTTGCTTAAATTCAACCTTGATTCTGATTCCGCAGAACTGGGTTAAGTGTGAAAAAGTATTTGTTGTTAACATTCTTTTTTCATTCGGCTTTTCCAGTTACGAGTCCTTTTTTTAAAGCTGATCGTTTTGTGTTCATTTTGTTTAATTCTTTTTTCGTTACAGATTTAATGTTTAGTATAGAGCTTAGAAAAATTCGCAGTGTGAGATAGGCAAGAAGTAAGGCATGTTGTAACATCAGCACGGAAAAGGGCACTCCTTTAGAGGCAAGGAAGGGCAAAAATATTTTAAGTCAAGTGATAGCGATTGCTGTATGAATCGTACAATTTTTGAATCAAGCACGGGCAACGCAACGCTGGGCCATATATATATATATATATATATATATATATATATATATATATATATATATATATATATACTATATTCCGTCAGAAATTGTTCATTTCGGAAAAAACAGGAAATATCGTCCAAACTTTCGACTTGTGGCCGTGTTCATAAATAATTTTATCGAGAGTTGGCTTGTTTTTTTACCACTGTGAATAATATGAATTATGAACACGGCCAAAATATAGCCACAACACACTGACTACAGAGCATATACAGATCATTTTTTTTTTAAACACTAAGTCCAGAAAATAAATCACTTGGACGAATACAACAGAAATTTAATAAAACTCTTAATCGCAGTGCTTGGTCAGTCGTTTTCAATGAAACATGTATAAAAGATGGATTGCTACCAAAATATACAATTATATATATGTGTGTGTGTTTGTGTGTGTCTGTGTGCGTAAGTACATTTATCTTGACACAATTTCCACATTCCTAAAATACATTCACATTGGTGTTCACTCTTTGTTCGACTTTGTTTTTCGTTCTCCGTCTATCTGTGCCATTATGCCTATATACATACGTGTATATGCGTATGTGTATTTGCGCGCGGAAGCATGAGTGTGTTTATGCGTGTATGCGTGTATTGTGTGTAAAACACTCTTTCCATATTCCAGCACTACGACTGTTTCCCTGCAGTCCTTTCTTCCAACGCAATCCCATCTTCACATTTTTTTTCACTCATTTCCAATTTCCTTTCGCTAACATTCTTCCGCCTATTCATTACCACCCACCACTCACTACCCCCCCGACTCATTTCACATCCACCCTCCTGTTTTTTTTTTTTTTTTTTTGATCTTTTTTGGGGGATTTTTTGCTCCCCCTTTCTTTTTCAAGCTTGATTCTGTGACACTAACCTAACAAAACTCGACCTCACGCGCGCAACACCAACCATCTCCAAACCGAATTTTCCATCGTCTCTCTCTTTCTCTCTCTCCCTCCCTCTACTCTCTTTCTCTTTCTCTCTCTCCCGCCCTCTACTCTCTCTCTCTTCCTCTCTTTCCCTCTCTCTCACAAACTCACTCCTCCATCTCTCTCTTTCTCACTCCATTCTCATCTCTCTTTCTCTCTCTTTCTTACCGTCTCACTCCTTCCTTTCTCTCTTTCTCACTCCATTCTCACTCACTCACTCTATCTATCTATCTATCTATCTATCTATCTATCTATCTATCCCATCTCTTCATTTCTATCTATCTATCTATCTATCTATCTATCCCATTCTCTTCATTTCTATCTATCTATCTCTTTCTCACTGACTCCTCACTCTTTCTCCTTCTCTCTCTTTTTCTCGGTCCTTCCTTCCTCCCTCTCTCTCTTTCTCACTCCATCCACCCTCTCTCTTTTTGTATCTCTCTCTTTCTCACGCTCTCTTTACTCTCCCTCCCTTTCTATCCTCCTCTCTCTTTCTTACTCCCTCCTCACTCTCTCTCTCTTTCTATCGCTCTCTTTTTTCTAACTCCCTTCTCTCACTTTATCTTTCTCACTCCCTCTCTCTCTCTCTCTCTCTCTCTCTCTCTCTCTCTCACACACACACGGCATCCTCTCCAGGTCTAGCGCGCGACAATAAGTTCTTAGTTCCGGTAATAGA